TATCTATCTATCTATCTATCTATCTATCTATCTATCTATCTATCTATTGTATATAACTCTATCAATATATCGTATATCTATCAATGTATTTGTCTATCATCTGTCTATCTTCTATATGTATTAATCAATCAGACTATCCATCATATATCTATCAATCGATTTGTCTAACTATATTTAAATCTATCTATCTCTGTATCAATATATATCTGAAGATCTACAGCATCAGGGTTTCTTATCAGGGTTTTGTTTCTTTAAAACAAAATAAAACCGGTGTCTTTCAGTTCTTCTGATCTTTCTTACATGTTCTTTTGCTCCAATTAGTAAAACAAACCTTTCATCTATGATAAAGATACTGATTACAAAAATTTTAAAAAGGAGTAAAAAATCTTGAAAATTTGGGTATTTTATTGAGAGGTACATTCAATAGATTAAGTATCTAATGTCAATTTTTGCTTTATTATGATCTTGCTATTTTTTTTCTTAATGATCGTGGGGATTTTTAGACTACCTAATTTATTCAGATTCTACGAAATTTAGTAAAAAGAAAAACAAGTCTAAAACAGCACTAACATAAAATTCATAATTCACATTAATGTATCCCTTGTAAATTTAACATCTTTGATTCTGTCTTATTGTTTTTCTCTCTTACTTTTGTTAGGTTGAAAGGTGGGCCAGCAGCATACACCAAAGATTCACTACTTTTGGTCATTTAGTTTGAGTTCATTCTTCTCAAGGAGTTGGCTAGTGCTTTCAATCTTTTGAGACCCTATGTTTTATCTGTCTGAAACCTTTCCCAGCTTGTTTGTGGCTTTCCAAGCCTACTCAGACCTGATCTGAGTTCCAGTTCTATGCCTCTTCCTTTGCCTCTCTGATGAAATTTTCTTTGACTTCAGGCTTATGTTGGTTTTATATTGTCATCTCTGTTTTAGAAAGGATTTAATCAGTTTCCTTAGCAAATGTTCAATTCTAGTGACTGGATTTTGGTATTCTTAGTATCTATGAGTTCAGGAAACATATTCTCCATAAGTTTAGTTTCAGTTCTTCTGGACACCAGAAGATGATTCATTGTTGTGAAATAATCTTTTTGTACACTGTAAAAATGTGTCTTTGCCAACATGCCTTTTAATTGGCTTAATAAAGAACTTAATGGCGAAAAGCTAGGCAGGAGGTATAAGCGAGACTTCCCGGCACAGAGATGATTTTGGGAAGACAAGAGGCAGAAAAGTCAGGCAGACACAGACAGGAAACAGGAGGTATAAAATGGAAGAGAGTGAACACCATGTGATAGAGATATAAATGGATTAATTTAAGTCATAAGAGCTAGTTAACTTGTTGGGTCCACAGGAGTAACACATAGATGGGGACAGACCACCAAAGTCTAGTAACCAGAAGCAAACTTTATTCTAAAAAATATATTAAGATATAAAAGAGTAAATCTCCATGGGGCACAAAATGTCAGCTTGCTGAGACCACAGTCAAAGATGGACTTGTAAAGCTCTGGCAAAGGACAGTTTCCGAATTCCTCCTTTTTCTAGCAAGAAGCAACAAACATTAGGCATGAACAAAGAAACTTTTATAATCTTGAGGTAAAATTCAGATACAAATTGTCTTTTATTTTGACAATTTCCATTTACAGAGTTTTTCAGTTAAATTAGTATTTGTTCATTGTTTTCCCCTGGAGCTCCTGGGTAGTGTTTCCCAAAGCTCTGTGCTTCCCCTGATACTGCCAGTTTCACATCCCATAACTTAAAAGTTAACTGTAATCATAACCATTGTTGATCACGGTGGCTGGGGTGTTATCTTAGGGCTAACTCTCAGTTTACAGAGCTGACCCTTGGTTGCAGAGGGCTGCTTCAGTCTGCAGATAGATCTATTTGTTATAAAATAAAGTAACCAACTATTAATAGTTAACCCTTAAACTGCTGAGAAAGTTGCTGACAGTCTGTTCTCATTTTTTTGAGCTTACAACTTTATTTCTTTATTCTTATTTTTGGAATCTACACTTCTATATTCTTATTCTTGAACTTTTCAAACTAAGAACCCTAAGCTATAGGGCAAGCTTTCCTAATTAATAAGAGGTCTCTTTCTCATTATCTGGAAGCTGGCTGATGGAACAGAAAAAGATTAGTTACAGTTTAATATGTACGAATGAAAGATTTTAGGTAGTATTAACTTCTCATTAATATGTCATCATTTGAGAGATACAGAATAGAGTCTTACTAGTTTCTAGTGTCTAGGCATATTTTCTAGTTTCTTCCCGAATATTCATCTGTCAATTTTTTCTCTTATGTATATATGCTTTATCTCTAAGTCATAGACTATCTAAATCTTATGATTATATTCAGACTATTCACTCAGGTTCACTTTTATCTATCAGTGGAAAATAAAGGGAAATGGGTCGGGGATAGGGTATTAAGAGTGCCTGCCACTGTAGTCCTCTTGTTTAATAAAGTCTCTACTCAGAAGAAAAAAGCCTAGAATATTGGAACCAAACCAAGTGAAAAGATTTATGAGATTAGCTTAAAGGTAAATTTTTCTGACCTTAGGTTATTTTTAAAGAGTTTATATTACCTTGTTTCTTCATTTTCACTATTTCTTCCTTTCTCTTTTTTATTTCATTCTTTTTCTTTCTTTTGTTCTGTTTCTTTTTCTCTCTCACTCTTTCCTTCCCTCCTCTTTTGTTTTCTCTCTTCCTTCCTTCTTTTTTATCTTTCTTTTTCTAAATCCTGACCTAAGTTTTACTCCATCCTCTCTTCCCAGCCCTTCTCCCCAATTCCCCTCTGCCTCCCAATTCCACTTCATGCACTCCTTCTTGGTTTATATTCAGAAAAAGTTAGACCTTCCAAAGATATAATAGTAGGAGGCTGCTTGTTCATTTTCTGACCTCCTAGACTCCCAAAATAACCACACAGAAACTATTAATTAAATTACTGTTTGGCCTAATAGCTCTTTTTATTGGCTAGCTTTTACATCTTAATTTAACCCATTTTCATTATTTTATATTTTACCACAAATCCCATGGACTACTGGCAAGGTTCCAGCATGTCTGTCTCTGGCAGCTGCTCCTTGGCTTCTCCATCTTCTTTTTCCCAGCATTCAGTTTAGCTTCCCCTGCCTACCTCTGTTCTTTCCTGCTCTGCTATAGGCTGAAAGCAGTTTCTTTATTCATTAACTAATAAAAACAATACATAGACAGAAGGACTTTCCATACCATTTCCTCTTTTCTGTTTAAATAAAAAAGAAAGGTTTTAACTTTAGCATAGTATAATTACATATAAAAACAGGTATCAAACAAGATTACAGTTACAATATTTATATCTACTTTATCTTTTTTAATAGCTAAGGAAAACTATAAGTATAATTATATATTCTTCAACCCCATCAAAGACTCCAGAAGGATATAATATTACCTAACTAAACAGGAAGTGCGTTGTAAGCAAACTTCCAAAACTCATGACACAGACATCTTGTTGCCTGGACAGTCACCCAAAGTTCTTCTGTACCATTGGGGCATCCATATTCAGCCTATAGGCCCATAGTATCTAGAATACTTTTCCACAAAGCAGGAAATTTCAAAGACAGTTCTGCCTGTATTGGCACTTTGCCAGTCATTTTCTTCTGTGTCCTGCAGAATATCTTGCAGACTCTTTGATGAAGCAGGAACCTCAAAGGACTGTCTCACATTCCTTAGGCAAATTCAGCAGTCATTTTTCTGTGGGTCCTGCAAAACCAGTTCAAATAGCAAACCATCAAGTAGTCCGGGGAAAAGCAGTACAAATAGCATACCATCAGGTAGTCCGGGGAAAAGCAGTTTCTTGCCATAAAGGCTAATAAACTCCATGAGAAGCCTCTTCAATACCCATATTCCTCTT